GCACGGGGAAGGGGGCTCGATGCCCGGGGCCGCTCCCCGCGGGCTCCGCTCGGCGCCCGGTGGCGGAGAACGAAGGTGCTGCCCCTGTGACGGCACCGTGGGACCAGCTCCCTGCTCCCGGCAGGTGACGAGGTGGCCGGAGCTGGCAGCCGAGGAGAGGGCGAACAGCCCTCGGGCACGGACGGACCTGTGGTGGCACCGGCGGGCCAAGAGAGGCTTGTGCTGAGCTCCGCGGGCGGCTCTGGCCAAGGACAGGTGCCCGCAGAGCGGGATGGGGATGTGCTGGTGTCGAGAGCAGATCTCGGAGGGTTTGCGGACCAGACAGCCTCGCAGGGCTGCCCAAGGAGGAAGGGAGGCTGGCGGGGTTGTGGTAAGAACAGGAGAGCCTCTCCTGCAGTCATCCACGGAGCCCATCTGGAGGCTCCCGGGTCTTGCTCTTCCAGCAAACTTGGAGCTTCACTCATATGGTTTTCATTGCTGGAGCGTGGCCTCAATCAGGAGTTTGGTTTGACGGTCCTGCCCCTCGCTGGGTACGTGCAGGGATGCCCGAGGGTGAGGACAGCTCTGGATGGAAGGAGATGGGGAGGACAATGTCATCCTCCTGACAGGTTGGAATGTGGGCATCACCCGCTTAATTTGCCAGCAAAGGCTGAGATAACAGGGTGTCATCCGTGTTAATGGAGGGAAATTATGGCTGTTCCTCATCTTGGCAGTGTGGCCAGAGGGTGAGGATGTTGGGGTCAGCTTGACCAACAGCTTCTCTGGATCGGTGTTAGGAACACAAGGGCAGCTGCCCCCACTTCCATCACGAGGTGCCAGATAAGAGCTGGAGCTTTGTGCTCCTGTAATCAATGCTTTGTTTGGAGAAGTTTGGAAATACCTTGTGAGGAAGTTCCTTGTAGAGCAGCACAGCGGGATGCAAACAGAACTGGGAAGGCAGCAGGGGCTCCGCGTGGTGCCGTGGGAGGTGATGCAAAACCAGCGGTATCACCGTGAAGCAACTTCCCGTCAGCAGGGCCCAGCCAGCTGTGTCGGAATGTCACACTCTTGTCACCCTGGCTGGGTGAGAAAAGGAAGGTCTGACATCCTTGGTCAGCCCCAAACGGGGAGGTGACGCTCTGCTCTTGTCCCTCAGACGTTGGCAGGGTGATGCCAGCTTGATCCAAAGCCATGTCCAGGTACCTGAAGCACTTCACGGTGGTGGGCGATGACCCCGTGCAATGGAGCAACGACTATCGGAAATGGGAGGAGGAGGAGGAGGCTGGGGAGAAGCAGCCAGATGCGGAGATCAAGATGGAGCCTGCCAGGAACCACATCTCCTTCCAGTACATGATGAAAAAGCTCTTCAGCTCTCACAGGTTTCAGGTGAGGCAGAACAAACCCAGGCCAAGGGCACGTGTGACAGCAGAGCTGCTGTGGGACGAAGCTCAGGGAGAGCACTGAGGCTGTGAGTCCCCACGGTGCAAAGAGCAGCGGCTGCCTCTGAGCTGAGCTGTCCTGTGGGAACAGAAAACTCCACCGCAGGTGCAGATGTCTCCTGAGAGGAGACAAGCCCCAGTGCACAATCACCACGGCTCTGGCACGTGTTCTCCTCCAGTTCCCTGAGCCCCCCACGCCGAGCAGGCTCTGGTGGGGACCCAGGTGGTTCCATGTGGAATAACTCAGCACTTGGGGCAGCAGGAGTGGGAGCAATGGAAAGCTCCACGAAACACAACCAGCCAAATCAGGGCTGTGGGCATCAGGGTGTGTTTATCTGAAGGGCCGCATTGGCTCCTCTTGCTCCTCTGTCTGTGCTGGGATGGGATTCATGTTGGTTCTTCTCCTCCAACAGATCGGGGTTGTCTGCTTGGTGATCCTGGATGCCTTGTTGGTTCTTGGGGAATTGCTCATGGATTTGAAAATCATCCATCCGGACAGATATAACATAACCCCAAAGGTAAAATATGGGGAAACATTAGCATGAACAGCAGTTCCTTCCCTTTGGTGGCTCAAAGCCCCCTGGACAGGCTGGGCAAGGCAGGACCTGGACTTCCAGCCTTGCTGAGTCGGTGGTTGTGGAAGAAAAGTCCTCAGCCCTTCCTGTAGAGCCAAATCAGAAGTGCCTTCAAGCAGCAGAGGCTTTCCAGCCTGCCCTGCCCTGTGTGCACTCTGCAGGGCTTCCTGCCTTAAACTTGTGCTCTTTTTCCCAGGTTTTCCATTACCTCTCCCTGTCCATTTTAACCATCTTCCTGGTTGAGGTGGGGTTTAAAGTCTTTGTCTACCGTCGGGAGTTCTTCTACCACAAGTTCGAGATGTTGGATGGGATCGTTGTCATCGTGTCCTTCATCCTTGACATCGTCCTCATCTTCTGGGAGCACGAGTTTGAGGCTGTGGGGCTCCTGATCCTCCTGCGGCTCTGGAGGGTGGCTCGGATCATCAACGGTGGGTGCAGGACCAGGCTGGATTTGTCAAACTTCCCTGAATTACCTGGGCTTTGTTCCTTTCTCAAACCCAACCCCAGGGGTCTTGCTCGGAGTTCCACCCATGTGGTTTTTCCTGGCTGGAATGTGGCTTTAATCAGGCTGCAATTTCTTTGGAGCAGCAACAATCTGCTGTTTGTGTTTGTGTGATGCCTCAGGTGCATGGCAGCCAGGCACATTCCCCCTGAAAAAACCCATAATCTGTTCCTGCACCCTTATCCTGGAGAGGGATGGCTCATGTTCTGAATTTCCATTGCAGGATTCTTTTGGCAGGGGAGCCCCTGTCTTCCTGAATTTGCTGCTACAGCAGAGCAGGTTTTAATGCTCTGTTCTGCTGTGACTCCATTGTCCCCTCCAGGGATGCTGCAGGGAATGTCCTGATCTTACTCTAGATCTTTCTTGCTTGAATTCAAAGGGTTTGCCATAAAAAGAGAAATAGAAAATGTTCCCAAATCAGGCTTTAGTGATTTCACTGTTGTAACTGTAAATTTGGGCATATCTGAAAAAAGCATAGCTGCAAATATTTTCTTCCTTCTTGAGGAAGGAATTTTGGGATTCCAAAAAATATGTCAATGAGATGATCTCAAATTCCTGCATGAAACCTCAGCTCAATCTCTGTCCTGTGCCTATATTCCCACTTTTGGTGGGTGCTCCATATTTGACACAGCTGGGATCAGAGGAGGGGATTGCTGGGGCTGTGCCCATTGCCCTCAGCCCCTTTCAATGGGGAGAAGGTGCCTGGTGGCAGCTGCAGCCAGAAAGAAGAGAGATGTGAGAGCAGCTTGTGGCTTTCCTGAGTTCAGAGTGAAAGTCAGAGAGAAACTGGATTTGTGTGCGGCTGTGGGAGCCACGGGAGCCTCACTTCACCGCAGAACCCAGGACTGCAATTACAAATAGATCCCCTCATCCTTGGGTGCTCCAGGCTTCCTGCCAAGCTTTATGCAGTGTCCACCTGCTTGCAGCAAATAAGGACAAAGGGAGCGTGCCCCACGCTGGGGTGTTGGGTGTCAGAGCCTGGGCACCGCTCCTGCCCATGTTACCAATGCAAATGAGCAGCAGCGCTGCTTTGTCCGCTGAGAACTGAACCCCCAGAGCCCAAACCAGTGCCTGGAGCGCTGGAATCAGCCATGATCCAGAGGAGCTGTGTCGGGAGGGAGAACGTGATGTTCTTCATGCTCTCATCAAGCTGATTTGCTTTATTGCTGTGGGAAGAAAATGCCTCCAGTGTGGAGGCTGAGTTCATGTGGAATCACCTACTGGTGCTTGTAGAGAAGTGGCACCTCTGCCGTGAGGAGACACTGCCTGCTCTCACTGCAGCTGTGCAAGGTGAAGCCAAAGCCCTGTGGACCTGAGGATGTGCCAGGTCCTGCTCCTTTGGGATGTGCCAGGTCCTGTTCTGCCAGGCCGGAGCGATCGGCCCCGGGGGTGGAGGAGCCCTTGGCCCAGGCCTTGCTCTGCTGTCACACCTAAAACTGCTAAAACACAGCAAAGCTGCCCCAGCTGCAGCCCAGGGCTCTGCCAAGGGAGCAAATTCAGGTTCAGGATTTGAGTGACAGAGCGATTAATTCAGCTCTGAGGCCAGGCTGCCTCTCTCCAGCAGAGTATCGGTATCCGAATCCCTCCGGTGGCTGATTTAAAACCCTTTCTCATTAAGAAAAGCACTTGGGAAGGGTGGTTGAAGATGACAGAAGCTGAGCTGGAGAGGAACACGTTTAACTCCTTGAGCACACAGCCTGTGTGCTGTGAACTCCTGCTCGTGGCTGTTTTACAATGTAAAGCAAACCCACTGTGAATTGTTCCACAGGAATAATTTTATCGGTGAAGACCCGCTCGGAGCAACAAGTGTCCAAGTTAAAGCAAGCAAACCTGAAACTTGCCACGAGGGTGGAACAACTGGAACACAGCTGTTTGGAGAAGGTAAAAAAAAAACACTTCTAATTTGGGTTTACCTGCTAATGGGGATCCTTGTGCAAGGTTGGCACTGTTGGCTTGGTTTCCTCATTGGGAAGTGTGGGGTGAGCTGGGCTGAAGCAGCACAGCCCTGCCTGGGCTGCTCCTCGGAGGAGGAATGATGTCCCTACCTCTGTCCTACTTCTCTTGGCCAGGTTGTGCTGTTTTCCTGCTGCAGGAGATACATTATAGCAGATAGGAAGATCTGTGGGAACCTGGGAAGCTGCTTGCAGGCTGTTAATGATTTAAATTCTGTCTCCTACAGGAGCAAGAAATCGAGAGGCTGAATAAAATATTGAAACAGCATGGACTCCTCAGCCAGCAAAAATAGGAGGCCGGTTTTCCAAGGTGGGAATTCTGCTTGGAGATTGCAGTGTTGGATCTGCCAGCTTGACCTGAAAGGTTTTTCTGTCTCTTTGCTTCCTCTTGTATTGTGTTTTCTATAAACATTTTCCATTTGACCCCACTTTGATCAGACCTTGGGATGACAAAAATAGTTCTACTGGAAAATTAATCACACACACTGTAAACAGTATTTTTTTTTTTCCCTTTCTTGTATAGTTACACAGTCAAAACTGCAAAATAATTTAATAAAGGCACATCTTTACAAGCTATACATCCAGAAAAGTACCACTTATTTAAAATAATTTATTTTTTTTTTCTGTGATAGCATTCTTTGTTTGCAACAAACTTGCAGTATAAATGATAAGAACCCAGACTGAAAAGGTAATTTCTTCTCCAGCTGCCTGTTCATCATCAATACGTCTCTCTGCCAGCCATTCTTTTCATACTGTTGGTAGTTTCCTCATTTCTGTTGCTGCTTGTGCCACTTTGTTATTTATATAACATTCATTTCAGAAACACCAACACACCACTCCTTTCCCTGACAAAGAAATCAGCACCAAACTAGAGGCAAACATGTGCCATTTTACATCAAACAATGGCTTGTTCCAGCAGCAGATCCCAGTTCTGATACTGCATCCCCTCATCTCTTCTTCCCCTTTCACTGTTCCTTCACAGCCCGTGCGGCTGCAAAGTTCTTTGTTTCCACAGCTCATAAATCCATGTATTAAAAGAACTGGAATATGTAAGAACAGATGTAGGTGAGTGCACTGCTGGGAACAGTCAGACTCCAGAAGAGCCATGAAAAAGCAAATTCTAAAGGGCCAGGCTGGTGTTTGAATTTTTTTCAGGTACTAGAGTGTCCCTGTGGAGAGGCTGTTTGAAAGCTGAAGAGTGAGGTTTAAGAAGTGGGAATTCTGAGAGATGGGGACTGCAGCAGGTGTCCTTAAAGGATTTCAGCCCCACTCAGCTGGAGAGGTCACTGAAAGCACAACTCAACTGCTCAGATTTTTTAAAAAAGGTAATTAATTAGTGGTATGGGAAAAATAGCCAGGTACATGTGGCTTATTCATCTGTGCAAGGAGATAAAGCAGAAGCCTGATTTAATAGTACATGATGAGTTTAATTAGCAATTTATCTCTGCTGTTAGGGGATAATGAACCTGCTTTCCCTGTGTGTCCCTGTGCTCTTCCCTTCCCCTCCTGCCACTGCTGGGCAGTCTGGGGCTGGATCCCACATGCTGGAGCCACCAGCAAGTTCAGACTGCCACCTTTGTCCTCTCTGCAGAGTTATAATTGGGAACTTTCCACTTCGTGGGGGTTTCTTCACCCTAAACCTTCTGAGAAACCTCATAAGATCTCACCCTTCCTCTCTGGCCCAATTTTAGCCCAGTATCTACAACTTAGGAGAAAGTGATGGCCCATCACAGTTACAGGATAAACACTGGACTAAAACTAATATAAAGCAGAAATATGGGGTTTTTTTGGATACATACTTACCTTAGACAAAGGGATAGAAAAAGTCAAAGGGTAACTTGATGTTAATGGTGGGCCAAGCTTTGTAGCTTGGCTCTGCAGGTGCAGAAATGTCAGTGAAAACCACAGAACTTGTTACAGGAATAATCCTTTCCCTTCCTGAGGGAAGCTGCAATGAAAATACAAACAGGACTTAGCTTCATTTGTACAATTGTTTTATTTGGTCTGGGTTATGTTTGTTAAAAAGGTTTTGATTTTGTTCATACAGTTCCATGTTTCTTTCCATAAATGATGTATAGATTTTTATTGCAGTGTGTTTTGGCAAGGAGCCCACAGTTGTGTTTGAGCTGGAAGAGAACTGCTGGGTGTAAATACATTCTAATGTGAAGTGCTGCCTTTAGATAAAGAGATTATCTGGGTCAATATCACACAGCTGATACCCAAGGAAAACAAGCCACTTGTTTTATCTTAAATCCTGTAATTTAATTACATACCTGCTTCAGTGTGGTGCTAGTGATTGTGGCTGTAACATTCACTATCCTGGCTTGTGGATTGACCAGGGATCCATATTTAGTCCACTTCACTTCTACTCCCAGTGACACTGGTATTTGGCATGAGCTCTGCAAAGTGTGAGAAATCATCTCATTGTCTGCCTTTTGCAGAAACCATCACAGTAATTAATTATTCATGTTATTAAAAGGGTAGAATGTCCCCAGAAAGCTCACTGAGGAACTTACCAGAGCAGCTGGACCCTGCACTGTTGCTGGGCAGGACAAAATCCTGAACTCTGCCAGGGCAGAATTTTGAAGGCTACAATCTTAAATATTTTTATGCATTTGTTCTTGAACTATTACACTTCTGGTTACAGAAACCATTCATCCTTTAGTTGCAGAAGCATGCAAGAATCCATCCACAATCTTTTTTTTGTGCTTCTCTCCCTTTTACCCTGGCCTGGAGCAAGAGGGGAAACACTGATTCTGTTCCTTCACTCTGTCACCTCTGGTGCTTTGTCCTCACAATAGCAACATTCTAACCTGTGTCTAAACAACTCACTTTGTACCCAATATGTTGCCCTGAGGTGCCTGGATACCAGCTTGATCAAATATAACTTCTACATCAAGAGAAGTTGTTCCCTCCTCTGTGAATATTCCATGAGTTTTTTCTAGTTTATTTCTGCATTCCCAGCCCTATTTTCTCCTCCAGTTGGTTCCTGCATTTTTAGGGTGTGAAGCTGAGCTGATGCTGCAGCACAGGCACAGATCTCGTGAGGATGGAGGGGTGGAAGTGCTTTAACTTTCACCTGCTCTGAGATGTGGAGCTGAGTTATTGGCACCCAGTCCAGCACATCCTGGGCTTGAGAATTCCCAAATGAGGCCACGTACTCAGGAAAGCTTTGGCCCTTCAGCACATCAAGGAGGGTCTGAGCCAAAGGCTGGCATTTCATAGCTGCTGTAATTCTTCCAGAAAACAAAACAAAACAAAAAGATGAGTTACAGAAAAATCCATTGGTTTGGCACAGTCATAATTCCTCCTTGCTCTCTGCTCTGTTCAAGCCTTCTGGCTACAGTTGCTAATGTACACAATCTTTCCAAGAGAAAGACCACTGTTAATTAAATGACATTTTTTATAATTAAATACTCCATTCTCAATACTCCTCCAGCTGTACAAATGGCCCAGGACCTGAACAGAGCCTGAGGGAAAGGGTTGTCAGAGGGTTAAAAGCATTAAATTAAAAAAAAATATAAATTACTTCTTACCGTAGCTTACAGCCTGATACCATGTTATAACCAAATAATACTGGGGCTCTGGCTCCCTGTGCTGCCAGGCAGTCCTGGGTGGATGTGCTCTGCAGAATGGTGAGTTGGCTGTGTTTGTTACTACTCTGAATGATGCCAGATGTAACACACAGTTAAGGGAAATTAAATGCTTGATGGATAGAGGGACAAAAAAAGAATCCTTAATCATATCCTTAAAATATAGCTGAAAATGCTATAATGGCTCAAGATTCCTCTCACAAAAGCACCAGGGTGTGCAATGAAGGGCTAAATGTACCTCACTACACAACCCAGGAGATTGCAGTCAGGACTGAGTCATTCCCTCCTAAAACACAGTAAGAAAAGCACATTTTTATTTTTGGTAGAGAACAGATGAATTTCGTAGATGTCCGTGCTAAAAAGGATTTGTGAGGATGGACCAGAGCAAGTGCAGCAAACAGAAATGCAGCAGGGAAAGGATATCCTTGAGGTTGGAATCCTGCTCTGACAGGCAGCCCAACAACATAGCCAGGATTGCCACTGAGAGGAAGTGGCTGTGTATTTTCCTGCAATGCAAACAGAGTATTAGTTCTTATCTTGCACTGAAGTGATAGGAAAACACAGAAATATTTCAGTTATTTTAGGATTATGACCTGCCTTGCATGATGAGGGCAAGACTGAGGCTTTGCTTTCTCTGTTATAGTCACAAGCTCGGGCTCATAAACATGACAGACTTTGGAGGCCTTCATTGCCTAGCTCTGAAATGCTGAGTATCCAGGGCAAGTTCTGTCTCACCTTGCTACTAACAATTGTTCTGATTCAAGTTTAATAAGTTTTGTAATTAAATGACTTTCACCAAGTCACCCATGACATCTCCACAGTTACCTGAGTGAAGCTGATTTCGAAGCTCTGCTCTATTGAAAGTGCTTCTTTGCTAATTGCCCCCAAGACAAAAGCAGCAGCTGCTTCTATTATTTCTCCTGTGTCTGTGTGGGTAATGTGATAATTCACCTGAAAATTAAACGTTTTAGATATTAATTTGAACAAATACATAAGAGAAACTTGAAAAAAAAGAGAAAAATTTAAACCATGCAAGTATTTTCTTGCTTGCTTGCTTAAGAAACTCAGCTCCAGGGTGGGGATGGGTTATATCCTCTAGAGGCTGGAGCCTCTTCACAACTGACTTTTTGATAAACCTAAGCACAGGCACAACATTCATTTACTTTAAAATTAAAAGATGATGTGCAGCATTCCTCTCTCTGTCATTAGTGCACCTGAAATAAACTCCCAAGCATAAAGTAAATTCCAAACTCATGTCATTGTCTGTTTTGCCACATACACAGAAGTAACACCAGGATTTCAGCCTGGCTCCATGCTATGTTGCACAGAGTTATTATTTTGTTGCAAAACACTCCCTTTTATCCAAAATCAGTGCTTCTCCCATGACATTTACTTTGGAGATGTCACAATATAAGGAAACTGCAAGGCCTTCCTGACAGCTTTGCTGTTTGGGAATCAGAAGTGATTTGATGCACAGATGCCTTCCATCAGCTCTGAGGAGAAAAAGGCTGCCAGACCTACCCCAAGAACTGCATTGATGCACAGTTCATCCGAAACCATGGGGAGCCTCAGGACATCACTGCTGCTCAGTAAAGTCCTCATTCCATTCAGAGACTGGACAACTATGGACTGGACAGTAATATTCACCTGAAAAACAGACTCGTGTCAGCTCTGAACACTGGGTATAATTAATTTTGGCTCTTTCTGTGTTATTATGTGCGTGACCTTTCCGGGTTCTGTTCCACAGCAACAGCACTCAGTAATTCTCTGAACAACTGCTGTGTTACAAGGACTGCTGAAGCTCAACCAAAGGGTCTGTGTTTAAATAAATAAAGAGATTTTCTTGAAAAGAGGGAGTTCTATATGAGGGAAATATATCAGGCTTGAATGTTTGCAGGCAGCATTTTATATTTGAGTTGCTAAGTATCATTACTGATAGCAAATGATGCAATTTTTTTTAATGTAAAGATTTGATCAATCAGT